TCTAAAAACACTTCATCGTGAGATTTTCACTAAACAATTTCACGAAAACGCAACACGTGTTTCGCAATACAATGGCTTCTTCGGGCGTGTTTTCACGGCTTTTGGTTTTTATTTTGTAGATAGTTTTTAGAAGTGATTTTCTTTTCTCGGAAACGAAGCTTGTGAAAACACAGTCGACAAAAAGTTGTATTATCAGTTGCTTGATCTGAAAAAATAAAAAACTACAGAAGAAGTCAGCGGCGTTCTTTTTTTGTTGATATTGTTGGCTGCGGTGCCGACTGAGACGCCACTGGACCTAATAATTTTAATCTAGTTCGTTAAAATGTTGTGGGTATTTTTGTTGGAGAGATTGTGAACTAGGACTCGGAGGTTAGATGTGGATGGCTTTGGGTCATTGGCCTACATCCTTGCAAGCCTTTTAATGGAAGACCGAAACTAAGGCTATTGACAGGTACGACCACAAACCCTCTTGCTGGTTCAGACACGTAGATGACATTTTTGTCAAATGACCCTACTGCTCCGAAACTCTCCATAATTTCCCTGAGCATCTCAACGACCTTCACCCGCAAATATAAAATTCACAATGAAAAATGAAACCAATAACTCCTTTTCATTCCTAAATGTCATCATCACAAAATCTAATAACTCCTTCACCCACATGGTCTACAGGAAACCAACACACACAAATAGATACCTCAACCCCCACCATCATCTAGCACAAACCAACTCCGTCTTGAATTCTCTCATCTTCAGATCTACTAACCTCACAAACCACCACAACAAACCACAAGAGCTGGCCCATTTCAAATCAGCTCCCCTTCAAAATGTATTCACAAACAGCAATGTTCCCAAAAAAGCTTTCCTTCCTTACATTAAAAATGTAGATGACAAAATCAGACAAATTCTCAAAGAACAGGACATAAAAACGATATTCACCGCCAACAATTGAATTTCCACATTCCTTCGTTTCCCCAAAGACAAAATTGTTGATGAATCTCAGGGTATATATGAAATTTCATGCTCCGATTGCGATGAAACATACGTAGGACAGACCAACAGACATGTGACAAGTAGATTATATGAACATCAACTTGCTGTATGAAAGTCAGACCCAGTCCTGTCCAAACATCGTCAAGAAACAGGATACAACATAGACTTTGCGACCTCTAAGACCACTACAAGCTCGGATAATTCGCCAAGCCATCGAATTCAAAAAGCGACTATGACGGTCATAGACTTCCAACTGCCTGAAGATCCCCAATTTCCCGATGCTCAACCCCCACCAAGACGTTCAGTGATGGTAATCAGCCGAAGCATCGCCCCCATATTTCCACTTCAGTAGCTTCCACCGATATAAATACCAATGAACACTCATCGACACCTCACTTCAATCTAAGGAGTAGGCAGATTGAGATCTCAGAGATAACTCATGACGAGACCTGGAGAGTAGGCAGATTAAGGCCACGGCGTCAAGTCACATCAAATTCTTGAGAATGGCTCCAAAATGGGAGCGGAAAGGTCGAATACAAAACTCCAGACGCGGTTCAACCCGAACTCAACGACAACAATGTTGGTGGTTTGACCAATCAACTGAGGTAGCAGAAATTTGGGAAGCTATTCTGGAAACTATTTCTGTATTCCTTTATGTATGTGTTCTTTCGGTTTGACCTATATAAAACATCGGATATGACCCACATGATAATTTATACACTACCGATTTTTCTGAAACTGAACTTGTGCATGTAATACCTTGGGATACAGGCAAGTTTATATTTTTGTTCTGGGCATCCTGAAGGTGTTTTTAATTCACCTGTGATCGAATAGCAAAAATAATTGGTTTATGAACTGAGAGATTAACAGAAACTAACCAACAGATAAATGAATGGAAATTTAATTGGATTGGCTCTGACAAAGCAACGTCCAAGAATCTCCTCTGAGAAAGAATCACTTTTTTCATGGTCTGCTAAACTGAGACCACACATGCCTGAAAGGTAATGAAGCTGTTAAACTCTCTTGCAAGCGATTTCATCAGATATAAATTCATCACTGACATTGCCGCCAGTGATGAATTTATGTCTAATGAAATCGATGAAATACCTGGACTGTAACAAAAATTTAGGAAATCAACCGAAATTGGTTTATTTCAAAGTATTTCTACTCGTATAGTTTCTACATGTTGCCAAATGATTGTTAAAGTACAGCAGAAATTACTTTTATTGACAAACAGGCTCAGTTACAGGTCACTGTTAACTCATGACTCAAGACTGTCGTGAATCAGTAGAGCATATACTCTTGCTGCTCCACCTTCGAGAAACTAGTCACCTTCGTCAACGTGCTGTATTTATTATTTCGTTAAATTTGAATTATATGAACTACAATGAATTCTTTCAAGTTGTAATAGACGTTTGTATCTACTGACTCACCGGAAAAAAAAGGAATACATATAGTTGTTTGGATAGGATGTGAGATATGAAGATCAAAACATTTTTTTTTGTCTTTTCGAAAGTCAGCGCTCCATATTATCCCTATGTCGAAGAACAATTTGTAATACTGTTATATATTCAAATCATTGTTATTATCTTCCTTCATCTTCATACAAAAATGTAAAAAACTTTCCATGGAACAATTGCTTTCAAAATAAACTCTATTCAAAGATATATGCAGATCAATTCTAGAAAGGAGCACTATCCAAACAACTATTTTCATAGTGGAGTGTTCCCATCTTTTTTAAAATTATCGGTAGTCATTCCTTTACACAAAGGTGGAGATCTTGAAGACCCTTCAAACTATCGGCCAATTTCCCTTATACCTACGTTGGCAAAAATTATCGAACAACTCGTCAAAAAAAGGCTCAATGAGTTTCTTGTAACTCACAAAGTAATCAATGAAAATCAATTCGGCTTCCAAACCAATAAAAACACCCATGACGCAATTGTCAGTTTTCTGTACGAGGTATATGCAAATATTAACATTGGAGATGTAGCCGCGGCAGTCTTCTGCGATTTTGCGAAAGCGTTCGACTGTGTTAACCACAATTTACTCCTGCATAAGTTGTATNTTCATAAATGATTATGTGTTTCTGTTATTCGTGACTGTCTGTTTCTGTATATTCAAACGATGTCCTTGTATAAGGCACTGAAATCATTATGAACCATAATTATGAGTTAGTGTTCAATTCAATCAACTTAGAAACATTATATTTCACGAAACTTCATCTCGTGTTTCACTAATGAAACCTCCAAACAAATATGTCATAGTGACCACACTCATTCGAACATCTCGTAAACGTATATTCAAAACAAAAATATAGTCAAACAACCGTCCTTTCATTTCGAAATTATTCCCTGCAAAATTCAATTAAGAAGCCAATCCGTACAGCAAATATTTGAAAAGCTATTCCACTTTAATAATGTAAATTGAGAATTGAATGTTTTTCAAGGGTGAACTGTGTCCCTTAATTCCCTTGTTATTATTGAAATCACATTCAAAATGTATTCGTTCAACTCTATTCTGGATTGTCATGTAGATTTCAAAGGAAAATCCACCTAATTGCGATCGATACCTTATGCAAAATTCCGAAGCATGCTGTGGCAAATTTTTAAGAGCACACTTATGTGATGCCATTTTACGGCACAAAATCCTAGCACTATTGTAGTTGGTATTGTATTTTATACTGTAAAAACTTTCGATTGTTATTTGCAAGCTGTAGGTTTTTTCAATTCTTTATTCAATTTTCCCGTACCTAGAGTTTATGACGTTTTCGTATTTTTTTTTTACTTGAGAATGCATTATGGCCCTGTAAGATACATTTGATTATTCCATAATTGACAGATAAGTTGATGTGGTAAGGAAATAATTTTCAATGCAATTGATTTATTAACACAGGGTGTGATTTAAAAAATAATAACTCCAAATGAATCTATGCCGACGTAATAGAATACGAATTGTATAATTATGTGGAATTATTTGGGACATTATTGGCTATCATTAATTGTTTTTTCATTTATTGTTTTTAATTGTTTTCAATTGTTCACTAGGGTATTTGTATCTGTAATGAAACCAAATATCACTGTATAAATGATGATTTAATGTATCCAGGTACCTATATTTCATTATCTATTTAAATGTTATTCAACATATGATATTGAAATCTTTATATGTAAAGGAGTGAATTTGGAAAGCGACTGCCATTCAGATGAAAAGTGTCAGTCGTGTCATCCTCAGTCGCATTGTCCAGTTTATCAACTCCATCAAAGAGCTAGGAGGGCATTCAATCGAATAGAAAGCGAGGTAAACAAATCACTGATGTTTGAAAGAATGTTCTTTAATTTTCTTTCTATAACAATGAAAAAAATTATGATGTTTAAACAAAATGACATTTTTCCCAGTTTATTGAAATAATTTATTGATGAAGGGTATAGTGACTAAATGTTGAAGATCCATTGAGAATTATCATTTTTCTCATTGAATTTTTTTGTTTATTGTCTGTGGATAATTCATGATTAGAAATCGAAAAAATGTTTGTGGCAATCTAACTATCAGTTAATTCAGTTGTTGCACTCTAATAGGTATTCGTCTACAATGGAAATAGTGAAATTACTTGGTCAACTACAGAGTTGCCTGTTGTCGAAACAAGAAAAGAAAATGTTTTCCTTCGTCTAGTCTCGAATGAGCCGAAAGAGAAATTCTCTCTCGTCTTGGCACAAAAACCGTTTCTTTCGACGATATTTCAGACTGAATTTGAATATCTTCATTTTTGAAAGTATTCTGAGCATGAATATTGAAATATATCTTGGTGTGTCATCAGCATAAAAAATTTAATAACAGTTTTGCAAGTGTAGACAGTAGATAAAATTGGACCCAGAATTGCCCCCTGTGGTACACCTCGACGTGATGACAATATAAATGACAGAAATACAAATATTTCCCAATATGACATGAATAAACCCATTTTTTTCTGGGTTTGAAGTTACCTTATGCCTCATGCGACATTTTTACAGGACTGTTGCGGATGCTCTGAAAAAGGGAGAGAAGGTTGAAGCTGAATCTTTTGAATGTGTGACAATATACTTCAGTGATATCGTTGGATTCACAGAATTGTCTGCTGTTAGTACTCCTTTACAAGTAATCGATTTGCTCAATGATCTTTACACTTGTTTTGACTCAATCATATCCCACTACGACGTTTATAAGGTGAGTTTTCACGAGTCCTGTTGATACATATTGTCCTGTTGATACATTTTGTTTTCATTTTTTTTCTGTTATCAGAACCGTATTTGTTACAATCAGAGTTATCCATTTTTTGGCATAACCAATATGCCAGATGTTATTTCTCCGAAATGAAAAAATTGTTATCAAACTCAGAACCATTATTTCCAGCGCAGAACGTTATTTGCAGCGCTCCAAAATGTTCAATGCTTATATTTGCGAATTGAAATCGTGTTTTCAGGAAAACTTCCATCACGTTATGAAGTTCAAGTATTCCAAGTTTCTGCTACAGCTCAGACATTATATTTCTTTCTAATGTGTGTTATTTTTTGAAGGCTGTAAGAAATTCTGATTGCGAATATTTATTCTGAAAATTCGTTATTTCTTATAACTTATAACTTATTATTTCCAAAAAACGATTGGAAAACTCGGTTGGATTATTGATTTTCCTGTCTGTTGCATGGATCAATATTCAAGAATGTATCCAAGTATAGAGATTTTCAATTAGTACTTTGCATCTCTTTGGGAAAATTAAAATCAATATGCGTTTTTCTTCAGTTTTTTTTATATCAACCAGACTGTAAGGTTGAATAATTATTATTGAAAGGTCAATAGAGTACCTTTCAAACAGTAATGAAAGTTCCTATTCTACGACATTTCATATATTTCATCCAATAATTTCATTGCAGGTCGAAACAATCGGAGACGCTTACATGGTTGTGAGTGGTTTGCCATTGAGAAATGGCGATCGACATGCTGGTGAAGTAGCTTCCATGGCGCTCCATTTGCTCACTAAAATAAAAAAATTCCAGATCAAACATAGACAGGGTGAAGTTTTACAACTGAGGATAGGAATTCACTCAGGTTGGTTCGCTAAACCCTCAGAAAAGTTTCAACATTTTTGTTTGCATTTCCTCATCAACAGGTCACGTGGTTGCTGGTGTGGTCGGTCTAAAGATGCCCAGGTACTGTCTCTTTGGAGATACGGTGAACACTGCATCCAGGATGGAAAGTTCAGGTCAAGCTTTCAGAATTCACATATCGCATGCAACTTATTTGCTTTTACAAAGACTTGGTGGATATACTTGTGAGGAGAGAGGAGTTATACCCATCAAGGTGAGAATCATGGAGGAGGGAACTGATAAATTTATTTTTTTCGGTAGTATCAGCACCCAAAGAATTGTTGAATATCATAACGCAATCTTTGTTGAATTCAGCGAAAAGGGACCAAGTAAGTTCCAAATACAATTGTTTTCTTCCAACCATTTGGTTTTTAATTCAATCCAGAATGTTCAATCTTTGGAGTTGAACAATATAGATTACAAAAATATAGGAAGAGAATCCATAACAGGCAGTTTTTCCATTCACCAGAAATGCAGTACTCTTTTCGACGCGCGTTTCACCAACCAAATTGGCGTCTTCACAAGATGAAAAAAGTCAATTCCTAACTCTGAACTGTCGATTCATATCTAACAGTACATACTTTCACCTTCCGTTACACGTCAAAGATTTTGGGTAGAAAATTACTGAATTTTTTTTTCATGAAAGTTAACGAAAATTTCAACAGAGTGATTCATAAATGAAAATTCAGTACGGGTGNAATTGCTGAATTTTTTTTTTCGTGAAAGTTAACGAAAATTTCAACAGAGTGATTCATAAATGAAAATCCAGTACGGGTGGTCCCAGAAATACCTGACCCAATAAAGAAAACATAGGTATTTATTCATTTTTAGTAATATAGCTAGGAGAGTTCTGAGCCATTTCTTATGAAAAAATACGTGCAAATTTGAGCAGGTGCATTCTTGCGATTTTGGACCTCAGGCCCAGTTCACATGGAGGGAACAAAGGTCCGCGCCTTGTTTCTTGCAGATGTCCATTCTGTGTTATTGGGCTTTAGACTTCCCGAGCCCACCCGAGCAATCGTGCGTGCAGCGGGAAATTCAAATCAGTAGATGAACAACGTATGTACGAACTGAAAATTCCGTGAATATTCTTATGGAGCTGAACTTTTTACAATTTTCGTGACATCCGATCGAAACCTTGTGGTACACCCAACTCAAGGTACGTGTGTTTCAGATAGTGGGAGAGAGAATCATGTGACGTAATCGATGCAGAGACGGATGGAATGAGTATCGAAGAGATTCAAAGAGCGTGGACCCCCTTGGGGCTCCGCCCGCTCCTCGGGCCCCACCCTTCAGGCCTTCACCCTCGAGCCTCCTTGTCGCGTACCAGTCACGTAGTCATCGGCAGCTGAGGGAATTTCGAAATTTATCTAAATGAGAGTCGAACTCAGGTTGTCGGCATGGTAGACGTTGTCCTTAATCTCGTCACCAACTTGAGATCTTGGAAGTAATTGCGAATTGTTGATATTTATGGCGGTTGATTTTTCTTAGCCGTAATCGACTCATTCTCTATACTTGACCGTATTTTTTTATTTCCGTAGAATCTTAGGAAAATTGTGACGTCATTTCCATGTAGAAGATAGCAAAATATCCTTAGATTTGGAGAAGAATTTATGTTTCATAAAAAGGTGTGTAAGTGTGTGAGTGTGTGTGTTTAAGAGTGAGAGTGAGTGTGTAAGAGTGAGGTCGTACATACGTTCATCTACTGATATGAATTTCCCTATGTAGGCGCAGTAGCTTCGGATTGGTCGACAGTATAAAGGCAAAAGTGAAGGAGTGGGCTCTGAAAATCCAAGGCCCAATTCACACAGAATGAACGTCTGGCCGAGATGAGGCACGGAGCTTTGTCCAAAAATCGCCGGAATAGACCTGCTCAAATTTGCACGTGTTTTTCCATAAGTAATGGCTGAGAACTCTCCTAGCTATATTACTATTTTTCCAAATAATTTCGTTGCAGCTCTATACACCTTTCTCAGCGACGTTCAATGATTTCGATACCGTTTTCATAATGAGGAATTGTCTTGCTCCTCAAAATAGCCATCAAGTGCTGACATCACTTTTTCATCTTTGAAAAATCTTTGACCAATTAGCCATTTTTTTTTAAGTTTTGGATCAAAAGATTCCGTTGCGGCCGTTTTTGCTTGATTTCTTTACTCAAACGTTGCAATAAGTTCGAATAATATTTACTCTCGATAGTTTTACCTTTTTTAAGATAGTCAATGGAAATTATTTCACGCGCATCCCGAAAAAACGATTCCATGGCCTTGTCTGTAGATGAAACGGTCTTCGCTTTCTTTGAAGTCGGTTTTCCCTGTTGAGTCTACTGTTTTGATTGTTTTTTTTTCTCGAGTATGAAGTGATGAACCTATGTTACATCCATGGTTATGAAACGACACAAGAATTCGGCTTTGTTGCTGTGGAACTTCGCTGAATACTCAACTGAAACATTTTCACGACGCTGTCGTGAGGTGCCGCAAACGCGGCACCTCAGTCTCGCGCACTTTCAGTCGACGATCATTCAGTACCGCTTTGTGGATTTCTTTCAATGTTTCTGGAGTCGTCACCGCATTTGACCGATCACTTGGATGCTCGTCGTGGCAGCTAGTACGGTCTTGCTTGAACTCTGCTACCCAATATTTTACTGTTGTGAACAAAGGAGCAGACTCACTCAGAGTAGAATCCAATTCAGCTTCCATATTGGTTTGCTGAGGCCTTTCAAATAAAAGTATAATATTACAACTCCCGAGGAGTTGTCCTCCTAGGTCATCGTCCATCCTGTCCTCTCCAGAAAGGTGGACAGGTCACTAGGAGACATCTCCTTCATATCGGCAGGTGTAGGTTAAGACTCGCCGAACACACACTCTCTTATTGACGATATCTCCGGACACTCGCATAAGACATGACTGACAGTTTCATCTTTCCGTTCACACATCTTGCATAGAGGTGTGTTCACTAGACCCATAATATGGAGGTGTTTCCTTAGTTTATAGTGGCCAGTCAGAAATCCTTCTTTTTTAAGTATAGGTTTTTCCAGATATTTCTTCGGCACCAGCTTCCCAGGGCAAGACAGTATTGTTTGATTCCATCCCATATCTTTAGGGATTGAGCATGAGTATGACGTTAGGTTAGTTTCGCAATCATCGAAGTCGTGAGGCCGTAGGTATCACTGGGTCTTGAAGTTCTTAGCCCATCCGCTTTTTTTGGCTAGAGAGTCGGCAATGCGATCACCTTCACTCCTGTCTTGCCCTTTAACCCACCTCTAGATAATGCTATTATCTACTACAAAAGCAAGCCATGGACCTGGTCTACCCAAATTCAAGATGCGATAACGTCAGTTATAAACATTGTCATAATTGGATGAATCAACCAATAATATTGCTCGTTTTTTGAAGAAAGAATGCGCGAATGTAGCTTACAGAACGAATAACAGTCTAAGTGAATTAATAAAAAAAAATAAAGACAAAACTTCGGTATCGAATAGATCAGGAGTATATAAGCTGACTTGTGGCTCTTGCCTAAAACTGTATATTGGCCAAACAGGAAGAACATTTTCCCAAAGAATCAAAGACCATTGAAGTTGTTTTGTAAATAGTAAGACCAATTCCAAATTTGCAAATCACCTTTTAGCAGAAGGACATGAGTTGAATCATGAATTCGACTGTTACATTTAGAAGAGAGGAGTTTGAAACTCAATCTTCTAGAAGGTTTAGAAATCAGTAGATTCAGGAATTTGGTTAATTTACTGAATGGTCAATAAGAATTGAATATTAAATATTTTTTCAAATGTGGAAACTGGGACATGAGATCAGGTAATTCAATTCATTACAAACTTAGGTAAGAATCAGGGACTTGAAAGTTAGGTACTTCAAATTGTAGAATAAGGTATTTTCAGCATTGAATATGTAGAATATAGTTAGTAAAGACACGCCCGAAGAAGCCACTGTATGGCGAAACACGTGTTGCGTTTTTGTAAAATTGTATAGTGAAAATCTCACAATAAAGTGTTTTTTAAATACGTCAGTTATGGATTTTCATCAAATAGCCAACGATGACTGCCTTCTGCATTTCTTCGGCCAAGATGTCTGCCGTAGTGCAGCAAAGTGACATGACATTGCGATTCGAGCATAGACAGATCATCATTCCACTAAGGACTCCAATAATCAGAACAACCATCTCAACAGAGTGGTCTGGATAAAGTCTGCGGAGTTCGAAGAAACAATCTCGATTATGCAGACGTATTGGTTAGTTGGCGATGACCCAGTACAACGAATGGCAAGAATAAGGGAAGATATAATAGGTTCCAACTTATTTAGCAGTATCAGTTCGGAAAGTACGTATATATAATGTAAATTATTTCATTACGTTTATCTACATTCACTAATAGCCAATTGAATCACAAAAGTATGAACATTTCTATCGAATATTCAAAAAAAATAAATAAACAGTCGAGGCACAAATACTTTTTCAGGAAATGTAATATACAGTGCTTTTCAGATAAAAGTATCCACCTTTAATAACTTTTGTAATACTGGTATTTAGGAAAAATCCAAAAACACGTCAATTTATGTTGGAAGGGGCAAGCATTATGGCTTATTTAAACTTACTGGAAAAGCCACCCCCTCACCCCTAGCATCATCCCTTTTTTT